AAATCGGACAAACTTGACGAACGCCACTTGTGATCGGAAAACTATCCGACATGTCAACGTAGACCTTGACGGGAGTCAGTAGTGTTCGGGTATAGAGCACGTAGGCTGTTCACATATTTGCTGGGCACACCTTTCCACTAAACTATTTCGACCGGAATGGATCGACCGACTGGATCGTACGCACTCTTAAAGTCGAGGAACACAGCTATTGTCGGTCTGATTTGTGTTTGGCGCTGCGTTAGTACCAGCCGCAGAGTGGCAGTGGCCGCAGAGTGATCTATACAGCCACCTGTTGGGCGACAACCCGCCTGATCCTTCCTAATCCGAGATTCCCGTGCCACTGTAAGGCGACAAACGGGAATCCAGGCCAGTACATTTTTCACGAATCGCATTAAGCTAATACCCCGGTGGTTAACGCAGTCTGTGCAACTGCGCTTCTTGTATATTGCCACTATAATCGATTCACTCCAATTAGCCGGGACACCCTTCCGGATACGCTGGAATAGAGAGATCAGTGCTTTTCAGTGGACCTTACTTCCATATTTTAAATAGTGCAGGTGGAAGGGAATGCGGGCTTGGCGGCACGAAAACTATTAAGAGCTGGGAGCGCGTTCCGGAAGACAGTCCTCGACATAGGCTCTAAACTAACCGTCTACGACTGGTCCTGCTTCATATGACCTTAAGAGGTCCGGGAGCAGGGGCCAGCTAAACTGATTTTGAAACTGTTAGGCCCAAGGAGCCAAAAGGCGCTGCCTAGTGTGTCTCAGTACATCAGCGCTCTCTCGGATTGTCTCACTGCGCCTGGTTTCCCGGCATTGGTGGTGCGGGTCAGCTGGAAGAGCTTGCGGTAATTGCCTACGGTTCCAGCATGCTCCGTTTGTTGAGCCCGACTGGTCCACTGGGCTCCCTTGTCAGCAAGTACGTTCCGCTATAGCTCTCGCTTAATAGTCCTTCTGGGCCCATTGTGCTTGGAGCCAGCAGGAAGCGTTATTCTGGATTCCAACTGGTTCACCGACCTCTCGAATATCCAGTGACTGATGCGATGACGACTGATAGTGTCACAAGCCGATGCTCCTGCGTCGTGCATTGCTGCCGAGATCCTATTCCCCTGACGCTGTATCATTAAGACAAGGCAGCGAAAGTTCGGTACGCAATGCGTCTTTATAGGCTTGTCTGACTGATGGCTGAGGCGATTTCTCATTTGCCAAACGGAGGAATAGCTTGGCGGGCCTCCCGGTAAATTGCATGGAGAAACGGCAGAGTACTAAGGAATAATCAGAGTCGACGCAGGTATCCAAGTATGAATGAAACCAGGCCACTTGTAACTTATGGCAATGTGGTCAATTTGGGTTCATCGCTGACTAGCTACAGTAAGGCCCCAAGTGATACTTCGGCGCGCACTGTGTGTAAAAGCAGTGCTACTAAGGTGCAACTAGTGTTCCGCACATAGATGCAGCAGATGCTCGTCATTGTCAGTCCATTCGGAGTTAAGCCCAAATTTACCACCAAGCTGAGCTTTTGAAGAGCTCATACGCCCTACTTGTGCGTTTAGATCATCTGCAAGTACTATGATATCTGAACTAGCAGCACTGCGTAGTAGCGCGTTCAGTTCGTGATGCCACATGTCATTGACAGCATTTGGAGTGCAGTCGGTAAGAGCATAGGCGGAAATCGTGTAATAATTGGACACCAAAGTTGAATCTTTTCAGAGGTTCGTGCTTCAGCTGGGAAAGAAATATTAGTTTGAACTGTCACAAATTGGAACTATGGACGAAACCGTGTGTTTTGATTTGTCTGAAACTTTCACGGTGGATCAGAATGGCGATTGTCTGAGGGAAGGTGTAGTCTAGTAAGATAACCATCTCACTGCTTGTAGCGCCATAAGTTGACTACCGGTATAATTTTGTCAATTTCTTTGCTCGGTGAGAAGACTGCGCTGTCCTCTGCACGCCAGAAACGTGTAAAGCGATGCACAGTGAACGACGCCAGGTCATAGTCACATCGGCAGTTGGCGTCCCCAGTAGCCCAATGGTGTTAATCCAAGGCTTGTCCCTGTCGAGTTATACATTCTAGCTGTCTCGGGGTTTAGATGGAATATGCACTGCTAGTGTTTCGCGGGAGGATGAACTGGCTGCACAGTGTTTTTCTGTGCTTACAACGAATCTAGCGGAGTCTAAATGTGATGAATTGCTGCTTAAACCATCCTATCCTTCTAATACTCTATTGTAAAATCCAATAGCCCAAACAATTGCTTATTTAATACATTCCATTTCAGAAAGAAATAGCTCTTCCGCTTTAACTTGCAAAGGATCGACTTTACATGGCCTAGTTCGTGTTGGTGGCCAAACTAGGGACGCGTTGAGTTACGGCAACATAAGATGATCAAGGTGAAAGGTACCGTTTCTGCACTTAAGTCTTGCCCTACTGTCAAGGTAGAGAAAACTTGAACGATTGTCCGGAGCTCGTTAACATAACCGGTTCCAACTAACCACGGGTGTCAACAAGAAATGCTTTTAAATTTTATGTGCACACCTCACGTATGAAGAAGGCTTTTTGTGATTGATGCAGGCTGTCGCGGCTTCCTTCGGCTTCATTCTGATTCGTGGTACCGATCTCCTATGATATCGTCAGCACCCATTTGTCTAAACAGCGACTCCAACATTATCATTCCTGTGTTAATGCCCCAGCTAGATTGATCTAGAATTAATTCATCGACTGAAGAAATATTTTGCCAATTAGGAGGCAGGTATGAGTAATGATATTTGTTCCAAGCGTCCTCGGCATACTTACTTGTTCATTAACCTGCGGTAGAGACGAAAGCCTGCAGCTAACGATAGAGAAACTGTGTACTTTCGATCATTCGTCCACGTTCTAGTCCTGCACACCTCAAATTCAACTGCTACATGAGAGAAATTCTGATAAGTGAACCCAAATAACGGCGGTAACAACAGTTCCACTTAACAACTACAGTCTCATTGACGCCGAATTATTTGACCAAGTTATGGTGTATACGACTGGTGTGATAAGGAGCAAGCATGTGTGTCGGAATCGGTCACCTAGTGAAGGAGGTTATGATCTCAGCAGGACCCAATGTTCCGAGGTGTTTACACTTAAAGCACTGAACATTGGCTCACTGGTTTTGCCTTGGCGCGTTCTTGATAGGTCATTGGCCTCTTTGTCGGCCGCTGGCCGGAACGTTTGTACGCCTGCGTTGTAATCCTGAGATCATCGGTTCGGATTTGCATAGGTACGGGAGACCACGGGATATAACCGGCCCTAACGCGATTGGTGGTGACAGCGCGGCTTCGGTACCGTGTGCCGGTGTACTGCTAATACCTTTCGATTCTAAGTCGGTTTCGTCATCTACCTAGTGCTGGACGTGTTCTTTTGACAGCCACTAGTCAACACAAACACCACCTCTCTTCTGGTCAGTGACCGCGATAAAACCCCCAGAATTTTGCAATGCAATACATTGGTTATGGCTGTGTTCCCGGCTGATTTGCTTTCGATTCAGTAGCACTTTGATAGCGAATAGTCCAGCCACCAAACCTGAACGTTGTGAATTCAAACTAACCCAAGCTAGCACGTCATTTAGCACCGGGTAAAGAGTATCGCTTTATCTGGTGCAGCAGACAGGGTAGATAAATATAAGAGCTTAGCACTTCAGCTCATCGTGTTGGTTCTGTCTTAGCTGACCCACACTTCAGTCTCTTAGACGCCATTTTATTAAGTCAAGTGGGCAAGTACCACCCTTAACGGACCTCCTATCCAACAAGCTCCTCGGTCTCCTGCTACGATCTCATACAGTCGCAGAAAGCGCTGATGGTTACCGGCCGGATGGTATGAAAAATATTGCATCGTTCCCGCATGTAATTCGGATAAATATATTTGATATAGTTAGACTCGTGACATGCAAATAACATGGGTCAGCTCATCACAGTTAGCACAAACAATAGAGGATTGTTTTTCCGTTTAACGGTGATGTGACTGTGATCAGTAAAACGTTCACACAGCAAATTGTAAGCATCTGGGTGGATTCTGCAACCAAAATATTGATTGATTAACGTGGTTCTATCTGGGCTTCCTAATAAACTACAGCCAGCAGATTAAATTTGAAGGGATTTGCATCTTTGGTCCACTGAACACGCTATGGGGTGAACAAGCTTTGGAGTTCTGAGGTCTATAGGTGAACAATGAACAATAACTTTATGTGGATTAAGAAACACTAGTTTACCATCACTGTTGAGTTATCGCAAAAACTTGATGAAAATTTCCACTCAGTACTTTTACTGATGTATAAGTCAACCTGGACGGGCTTGAAAGCTGCGGCATAAGTGGTTCTATAGGAACTTCAGCAGCATTGTGGTACCACCAATATGACCACCAGATATGGCCTACTTCTAGCGTCCATGAGATTGTTACCATTGTTATCTCCAATGCCATTTGACAAGCAGGCTCATGCAACACACGGAGGTGAAAATTAAAGTGAATCGCCAGCTGTACGCCGTAAAGGTGCTTCGCTGCCGCGCGACCACCACCAGTCGCGCGTGAGCTGAGTATGCCGCGAGGACGCCGCCCATATGCGCATTCGAACCGGTGAACATATGGTTGCAAGCTGGGCGCGAAGCCTAATCGGTCACCAGACGAGGCAATATGCTTTGGCACCTGCACACACCGCAACGGTTGATGGCTCGGGATATATTACACGCACGCACATAAGCGAATGTGGGCTTCGTTTATGTGCTCTCGTTTGCAGTTGCTGCTGCCTTTGTTTGTTTCATTTGTCGTGTACTTTATCAACCGTTGTCACTTCACACTAGGGGTGCAACGGCCAGGACTCTATCACACAACCCAGTTGTGCTCAGTTCCAAAATGAATGAACGCAATAAGTAGTAATTCAATGAGTCCACTAGCGAGGTCAAACAATTAGTGAAGCATGGTGAACTGTCGTGAGCACCTTGCTACAACGAAACAAAAACATTAACTTGTTCAAACCTTACTGAACTTTCCACACAGCTCGGTGAGGTGAATTGCCCCTTCAAGTCAGTTGTCGAGGCTGGAGTTCGAGAAGCTCTAAGGCCAAAGTTGCCGTCATCTTCGGAAGTGGAGGATATTGGGTCACTTTGTGAGGATCTCCTGTGCTCGGTCCACGTTCGAACAGGTAAAGGACCCAGCCGACTTAGAACGCGGCGCAGGCGATCCGATCGATGTGGTGCGATGGAAGACAGGTGAGTGAGAAGAAGTCGATGCAGCTCAAAAAGTTCCTGAAAATGGCATGCGAAGGTGTCTTTTATCTATCCGAATCTCAGTATGATGAACATTAGTCCAGTATTAGTTACATAAAAGATTGGCATGTACGCAGTCCGCAACTGAGAAATTCATATTATTAATGAAGTAATGTGAAGCTAGCTTGTGGAGAAATGATACACATTCTTGGTAAAGACCCGATTTTTCCGCCCTTCCGCGAAACCCAGAAAAATTGTAGAATCCGCTAACTGTCGAGGAAAATAAAACGTTTCGCGGAATTGCGGAAAAATGAGAAATTCATAAAGAATGCTACTTTGAATTCCGTTTTCATTGTGATCAAGCAGCGGAACTGAAGAGACTAGTTAGGTTCGACCACCGGTGCATTCGCAATTTAGTTCACATCTGGTGGGAACACCGAGTTATCAAAATGCGTGTTTGACGCCTTATTTACGGCACAGGAAAAGGAACTGATCCGCTCAGCACCGTTATTTCACGCAACAGGTTCCGAGGGCTGGGCCACGGGTTACGCATGCCAGCCCACGTACTGCCGCGACGATCGTTGTTTGCGCGCCGGGGGTGTGGATGGAAGATGAGGAGGGGTGGCCAAGCGATGACTTGCTCGGGAGGAATGAAGTTTCTCACTTCGGAGCTGACCTCGGTTGGAGCGCCACGGCTCCCTGGTTGGGGTCCGAAAAACGATGAAGACGTATGGCTAGATACACTTGCTGATATGGCTGGGAGCCGACCTCAGTGGCGTTCGTGCTATGAGTTTCCTTGTCCCACCCCATCGCTTTTAGCCTCCCCTCCAACCTCGATCTCACTATTTAGCCTTACATAAGTTTGCATAGTAAAGTTTTGATGCACAATAGCCGGCTGGTAGCTTATCGGAACGATCCTTATCCGTTACCGGTAGCTCAGCTGGCTTGCAACAGTTAAATTTTTGCTCCTTTTTTCTATGTATCGCGACACAGTGGCTGAGGTATTCCCCACCTCTAGCTGACGAGTATAATGAATGAATTCGGAAGAAATGCAAAAGCAGCCAGCTGTCTGTTGGAACTTTCCTTTGGAATAGCATCACCGCCATCTGTCCACCATCTGCTATCCACGCCCGTTTGTCTTCAGATCAACACATGCACAGATCCATTGCACAACCATGTCCCCTCTGTCAACCCACGCTGTGCACCCATTCTGTTGCTATTATACAAACACCCTTTGTCCACATGTATACTAAATCGGTTTGTTCACACCTTTTGCGCACAACTCGCCGGCACACACCACCCCGCATTACGGTCACCTGCGAAGTTGATGCCCTGTCTCCCCTAAGGCGTTGAAGAGCGGCCATCTCGTTGCATAGGACTAGGCGGCGAGATTTAAGCAACCGTGTAACTTCGCTGGAAAACTGAACTCGTCGTCATCTGTTAATATCGTGGCGAGAACGGTGATTTGTACCCTATTTGAGCACTTCGTGAAGATACTGTCGAGCCAGTGCTTACCAGTTATTGTTGAGGTTTGTCATTATTGAATTTTTATCTTCCTTTGGATAGTACCGTTGTTCAGTCCCGGCTTTGTTTTCGTTTGACCCAGTACAGGAGAACCAAGCGAACCTGTTGCTTACAATAATCGACTGGTTTTATCTTTTGCAGATGTCATCTCAGAATAACAAACAGGATGTGGGAGGAAAAGCTACCCTAGACAGAGTGAAGGAGTTTCATCGAGAATACTGCATCAATAACGCGGATAACACCGTTGTTTTGTTCATCCTGTGAAACCACATTGGATCCATCTCGAAAAGCAACTGTGGTTGACCACATTCATAGCCAGCGACATCTTCAGAATAAAACTTACAAAGTTGAGCCGGCAGCTAAATATGTTGCCAAGTAGAAACCAACACCGATAAAAGCACGACTAGCAAGCTTCGTTAGTTCCATCACCGTTGCGAATGATACCCAGGACGCCAGCGACCTAGTGATACCTGAGTTTACACTCGCTATGGTATTTGCGAATATTTCTCTAAAGGAGGTCGACAACACTAGTTGAGAAAACTTCTTCATAGACGCGTACGAAATAGTGGAAACATTGCCGCGTCTGACACGCTACGTCTGAAAATCCCCAAACTCTATGGGAAACCTACTCAGGTATTGAAAGAGATGTTCCGTGGTACCCTTCTTAGTGTTATAACAGACGAAAAAACTGAAGTTCGCAAGAAGATGGGACTACACATCCTGTTATGCGTACCACTGAAGTCTACCAAGGATGGTCTCTGAGCATACCTCCTCGACACGGTCAATATAGTGGGAGTCAGTTCTGCTGCAGTTGGAGGAGCCATACTGAACAGCCTGACAATGAGCGGTATAAAGTTCAGTCATGTGACGGTCTTCGTGTCCGGTGGCCTTAGATATGACAGCATGCAACCGAGGTGTCAACATGCCCGTGTGTCAGGATTCAGTTCAAATCAGATGTGTTGCCCATTGCATCCAGTTGATTAGAGAGACCATTCGCAAACTCTCTCCGAAGTCAACGAGTTCGTTGCAAAATGAAAATTGATTTCCGTTTTTCAGGAAGAAAGGGGCGTGTTCTCATGGTGGATATAACTCAGAAGGGCGCGTATCACCTAGCCGGCCCACCTGCACCGGTCATCACCCGCTGAAAGTCCTGGCTGGAAGCTGTCGCACATCATAGCAAGTACTTCCATCATTCCCAGCCATGTTACAAGCTGTACAACTCGAGGTTGGCGACTCGACTGGTCTTTGTGAACTGGTGGATATTTTAACCAAGGAAACAACACCAAAAGCGTTGAGATAGCAACGGCATTACATTATGACTGTGGAGAACATCGTCCGTCACCCGAAAACTGCCGAATCAGTACAAAGTAACCATAAAATTCATAACGACCTATCCGATCTATTCATGTTGTTGAAAACTGGCACTGAAGAAAATTGGCTACAATATTTTCTGGCAGGGGACTCACCTTTGATATGTCTAGCAAAATCCAAAGGAACATTCAACTCTGCTTATCTCAAGTTACCATAAAATCCAAGGAGTTGCGTACATCACAGGCTAGCTTGCCGTTTTTGAAAGCCATTAGTTTGCTCGACCCTAACCAGCTCATCAGTTTGCTCAGTGATCCAGGCAGATGTTCCAGACCTGGTTAGCACGACCCACTGTTAAGTGCACACTAAAGTCACTTGACCTGATCAGTGCGGTGCACGTCCGCTTACAACTTACTCAAAAACTTATTCTAGAAGTTTTACTTTTCTTTTAAACTGCGTGATGAAACTACGTGCTCTGGCGAACCCGATTAGGGTCCATCGCTGGCTTTAACGCACCGGAGTGCTATGGTGAGCCTCCGTCCATGGTCACGGCGTCCTTGGACACCCTGAAACCAGAGCCAGGTGCTCTTAGGTCCGTGTACAACTTTCTTAATAATAATAATAATAAACTTGAAGCACGACAGGAACATGATCGCCGAAGATCGCAGTCCATGTCGCTTGGATGTGTTGGCGGTATCAAACCAACACGGGAGTCCAACGACGGTGCAAAACTCAGTGCAGTCAAACAGACCACCATCCGCATGTGGGGAATGGCGCTTCGTCAAATTCTGCCCGTTCAAGAGACATTTTGTTAGAAAGATAACAAACAGGGTCACAAGGAGGAGCATTGCTGTGCGGCCGTTTTCAAAAAGAAAATATACACCAAAACTCCAGCAAGTTTGCACCCACATCTTTAACAAGACAAGGCTCTCAACTGTATCCTATCTTTGCTGCTTTTGATACCGGGACCGCACAGTGCAGAAGATTCGTAACAGTGGTTGTGAACCAAGTACCTGTACGCCTCCAAGTAGACACTGTCTCAGAAATCACGGGCGTATCTGAAGAAACTTGGAAGAAAACCGGTGAGCCATCTGTACAGAAAAGAACTCGGATCACAACAACTGCTTCATGTGGATGGCTGAACTTGGCCGGTGCAATTTATTGCCCTGTAATGTTCAGAGACTGTCAGTTCGAAGGGTTTGCTACGTAGCAAGACACCCTGATGTGAAGTTACTCGGTCTCGAGTGAATTGACACTAGGAAACTGCTTGATGTCCACTTGAGTTCAGTGTGCAACAAAGTACACGATGTAGCTGCAAACTGGACGCAGTCTTCACAGAGGAAACATCCGCCTGTGTTTAGGATGTTCTGGGATTGTGCACGAAAACCAAGGCAAGTTTATCCCTACACCCAGACGCAAAGCAGATCTCCCGACTGAAGAGACCGGTTCCCTATGCAGTGCTTCCAATCATCGACCAAGAACTTGACAGACTACTTTCAGTCTGTTATCAAACCGACCAATTGCTCTTCATGACAGCCACAATTGTGATTGTCAAGAAAACAACCGGAAAGCTTCGCTTATGTACAGATTGCTTTACTAGCCTGGATGTTGTCCCAGAAGACCACAAGTACTCACTACCCCACCCAAACACGCTTTTGCACGTCTGAAAGGTTGCAACTGTTTTGCCAAACTGGACTTGTCAGACGCATATCTCTAGCTTGAAATGTCAGTGGAATCAAGTGAGTTGCTGAGGAATAACACACAGAGGACTATTCCAGTATAAACGCCGACCATTTGGCGTTAAGTCAGCCCCGGCAATCTTTTAGTTGACCATGGTTACGATGTTACGTAGAATATCATATGCTGCTGTATTCCTGGACGATGTCATTATCATGGAATCCAACCAAGAATAACTACACCAACAAACAGAACACTTGCTTGACAGGATAAAGGAATATGGTTTTCGCCTAAGAATGGATAAGTGTGTTTTTCATGGCCTCCAATATCTGGGCATCATCATTGACCAAAATGGAGAAATACCTGATCTATCAAACCGCCAGGCGATAAAGGAAATACCCCACCTAGGGACTTAGCGACGTTGAGATCATTCCTGGGTATGGTGAGTTATTATAGTACCTATCTGCCGTCCAAGCACGACATACGCGGACCCTTAAACAGGTTGCTGATGAAGGACGTTCCGTTGGCCT